TTTTATTTTATTTTATTTTATTTTATTCCACTTTCAGAACTTTGTTTGCAGTACAGAACGCTAGCATCAAATTATCTGATCTAAATAACAGTAAAAATTTCCATGCCATTATTTTTCTTTTTCTCATTTGGGTCTCTAAGCTATAGTGCAAAATAATAAAAACAAAAACAAAAAAAAAAGAAAGGAAAACTATAAAAAACAACACTAAGAAATTGGTCTAAATACTAGGGAAAAAAAAAATGGAGACTGAAGTATTCCCTGCCTCCATCTGAGGTTGTTCATGAACAAGATGGTCCAAAGCTATTTGTTTGCTTAGTTCTCACGAATCACTGCTGGCTGGCCCATGGGTAGTCTCCAGTGCTCTTTCAGTAATAACTTGTTCCTTTAGCACTGTCATCTCAACACCACATTTATATTTAGTTTCCTAATTTTCTGAAACTGTTATGATGAAGGCATTTTTTTTTACTTTTGTAACTGGGCCATGTAATGTCATGTGATTCTTTATACATCCATATTCTTACAAGAAATATTGTTCAAAAATGTACCTTAGACTGCGCCCAGGAACTGGGAAAATGCCAAATCTACTTTCAGAGACAAACTTGTAACACGTCACTCTTTGACCTTTTGGCATAATATGAGAACAACAGTAATCAAGGCAGTATTAAAAAACACAGCTGTAGGTAATACAAAGTGCATTTCCTGCATATAATACAAATATAACTTTAAGAAACTAAAGGCACAAGCTAACTAAATATGTATTACATACTAGAAATGCACAGTTCAAGGTAATTCTAATAGCTTTAAATATTTGTTTATAATGGATATTTAAAGCAGTTTGAAAATGATCCTCATTAGTGAATTGCAAAAAGTATAATTGCTTAAAATATAAGTAAAATAGACTCTAATATTGACATCTTGGATCAGTGATAAAATACATCATCACGTTTATGAATGTACTCTCTATATACAACTCATAAATTATTCTTCCATTGATTAAAAGTATTTAGAGGCTCAGGGATTTGAAGGTCCATTTTTAGGCTGGTGTGGAGGTATTCAAATTCTCCGTGATTGTATGGAAAATTACAGAAATCAGAGCTGTCAAACCTGGATGTTGTCAGCTCCCAATTCTGTACATTAGTTAATGATGAGCCCGATCAAAATGTGTATGTGCAGATTTTGGTCCACAGTTCCCCCAGGCTGGGGAGTAGAGGGTGGTTTTTGGGGCTAGGCTCTCGCTCAGCCTGATCCTGCACCCCCAAAGCTGCGCTGGCTCCCAGGGGAGCGGAAGGAGTCTGGAAAGAGATGCTAATGGTGGGCGGCTGAGACCCGAGGGCAAACCCTGGGGGCATTCAGGTCTCAGGAGCCAGTTCGGGCTCATCCCTAACTTTGGTACAGTATGCTCCACTTACCCAGAAACAAGGGGAAAAAAGAAAACTGGAAAGAAAGGAAGAAAGACAAAGAAAGCACTTTGTTTGCTTCATTAAATATGAGCAGAAATATTTTCAATATATTTACTATGTCTCTTTTGAAAGAAATGTGCAATAACATCACTGTTACGGATACACAGGCTCTATAACAAGACTTCTAGCTCCCTCTGAAAGTCAGTAAAGGAAATCTGCTTATCTGTCCTTCCCTCCCTGTGTTTGCCCTCCCCACCTCCCAATAATCAGGTCTTTTAAAAATGACAAGCTGAAAGAAGGATCACCTACTCTGCTATGAAATAACTGTGCCAGCAGCGCATGATACCTTGGGAAATAAAGATTTCTGTCCATGCAATATAATGCTTTCCTATGTGCTCTAGATATTGAGCTGAAAAGTGAAGAGTCATCCCCAAAATGTTCTACGTTTATCAACATATTTACTATCCACACTTAGGTTCATCAACTCCCAACCCACGAAGCTTCTTCAGACTCGAAAAAATGAGTAATACAATAGGATTATTAATTTGAGATGAAAAGAACGCGATGCCTAAACCCAACAACACTGCAATTTCCAAATGATCTGTGAAAAGATGAGTCCTGGCCCAATGACTACAGACAGGACTGATCCCGCACGGCTTGTGGTTACTGCACCGTGTGGGCCCTCCCAGCTGGTAACAAGGGTTGTCCCAAAAGCACTGAGTCAAAGCCCAGTCTGCAGCATGCTGCTGCCAGTGGAGAGACTCCTGTTGACTACAGCACTCGCAAAGCCCTTCTTTGGCCACCCTGGCCACCTGGCTAAAGCCCAGCAGTGTGGTGTCACCTGCACCGCTCCGCCTGGAAGACTGGCAGCTCCACGTGCGCTGCCGAACTCCAGTATAACCCAGTGCCAAGGGAAACCTTGGGAGAGAGACTCCCCCAGATGCAAAAGTAGACATAACGTGGCGTTCATCGCCAGGTGTCTGAGAGGTGGCTATGGCCGAGCAAAGCTGAAGGCCATACGGGACAGCCTTTTACATACTGTATCCTATACAAGTCGGATTTCCCAGGTTAGAAAATCCCTTAGATCACTGCTGTGAGGAATGACATGTGCAGGGTTGGTGAGCAACTACGTTTCCATACACAGTCTAGTTTCTGTATGCAATCCCTTCAACTTATGGGAGATCTCACTGGGATAAAAATGACCCAGTAAATACGGGTTGCAGAAACAGGCTCTGTAACCTTTTAAATAATTGGTGAATTATTAAATCAACAACAACAAAAAAGTCGTGTTTCTTTAGAAGAAGGCAGAGCACACTGCGCTCTCCCCTACCCCGCAGGGATGTGCGGAGTCACCCCGGGCACCTCGCGCGCAGGTCGCGCTGCTCAGCTGTCAGGACTCTGCTTCTGAAATTTTTGAATACTGCCACACAAGAACTAAAAATCGTCACTGTCATCTCTCAAAGAGTTAAACGAACAATATTAAAATACCATCTTCTGTCACATTTAAAGGCAGTCGGATATGTTTTTTCCTCTATATTTATATATACAGAGTTCTGATCTAGAAAAACCAATACAATAAACCATTTTACGTTTAAAAACAGGCAGTCTTTGGTGACGCAAAGGCAGAGATTTTCTTTGTTACCTTCTGCCTATTTCACTCTGTCTCATAAAGTGAATATTATTGGCACTGTCAGAAAGTTCGAGATACTGCTCCACAGATAAAACAAAATATCCATCGTAGCCTTGTACCCGCCCAGTGCTTAAAAGCTGCTGTTTCTCTCCATCTGTCCATGCCCTAATACCTTCTTCCCCTTCCTGCAGCCGTCGCTGCTCCTTAGTCCAGGCCTGAGCCACGGCTCTCTGCCTGGCTATCTCTAAGACATGGTTTTTTTCTTCTTCCACCGTTGTTCCATACCGAACGTTAAAGCACAGTGCGCCGTGCTGGAGCTGGATGTCAGCAAAGCGTCTAGTCCTTCCGTTGATCACAGAAGTCATCTGCGACACCGTGACGTTGACACCATTCTCCAAGATGCGTCGTCCTCCAGTGTTGCCGATTAGGGCCAAATCTTCTTCCAAAGAGCCCAGCTTAATGAAGTAATGCGTGTCTCGGCCCTCTATGGTGAAATGCAGGTTCTCCAGATAGTGAGCGTTGTTGAGGATGGCAGCAATGCGCCGGCTGTCCTCGTTAGCCACGCCTATGATGTCAGCTATCACTATACCATCCTTTATCGCGAATTTGATGCCTTTTCCAAATACTGAAGGAATAGCTGCAAATCTCGGTTGCTTCACTCCCTCATAGCACTTGCCATCGCTATACCTGGGTGTCATAGGAAGTTGATCCAAGGATATAAAGTTTCGGAGCTGCTTTTGTAGCTCACATTGAATACCAAGGATAGTCTGGAAAAGAAAATACCATTAAAGTTTTCAGCCAAGGCACATTGCAGTTCATTATAATGTCCCACAGACCCTACTAATCCCTTAATTGCTTAGAATGGATCTTCAGTTTGTTTGGAAAACATCGTGCACATCTACAGAGCCTGGGTATATGCACAGGCTTTCTAATCACCTAACGTATTGCTTTCTGTCTCTTGGACTATCGTTTCTAGAAAACAAATGGAAAATGTATTTATCACAAATGCTATTTGTATTTATTCTTTCTTTTTTTTCTTCCTCCCCACTTGAACTGTTGCTCTAATAGCTGGTCTTTCAACTCTTAGGCATGGGGAAACCTGAACTCAAAGCTGTGCTCTTTCACATGATTCTATGCTTAATCTCTGTGCATCTAATGATGTCTTCTCTAAAATAGCAGTAACAGTTTTTATAGCCCATTCTTTAAGGAAAGCAGGCTGTGAAGGTCTCAAGACACTAGAAGAACAGGAACCAGGCAACTACACCAGATCTGTAGATCTTGCTCCCCATTGAGGCTAAAAAAGAAATCTCATTCCCACCATCTATTTGTCTTTTAACACTATACTTATCATTACACTTTTTCTCTGCCTTTGTAATAGCTTCTTTAATATCTCAGTGATAATTTTACATGGACATGCTCCTACGTCTAGAATGAGCTCTGACCCTCCAGCCCTCTGCACTTTGTGCAGTCATTTGTGTATAGGAAAAGAAGTGTGTTAAATGCCACGAACGTGAACTCACAACACTTTACACTTCCTTTTCCTGACTACATTAGAGGAAGGGCAACTTTCCTCTCTCATCTTTGCAAAATCGTATTTCTTTGTTAACAAATGCTTGTATGGTCAAATGCAAAACATGAATGCCTGCTCAGAATATCGGTAGTTGGTCCTGTTGCAGTTAGATTCATTGCTAGACCCTGAGAGCTGCTGCATGGCTCTTCTTTACTGAAAAAAAGCTCTGGAGCAAGGTTGAGTTTTAGAGACTTCCCCCCTACAAATCCACAGCAACATTTCTGTTTTCCTGCAATAATTACGCAGAGGTACAGGCTTGTAAAGCAGTTTATACCCTCAGCAATTTTGCATCTCTTGTGGCGTCCTTGCTAACAAAGACGAAAAACTGTTGTTTTAAATTTTTAATTCCACAAGTTTTTTTGTACCTTTTTCATTTTTCACACAAGTGCTTTTACCCTTTTGCCTATCCTCCCCCTCAAATTTGGATAGTTTCTCTGTAAACAGCTGCAAAGTTCCTTCACTGTGCTGCTAAAAGCTTCCCCTTAAAACTCTCCTCCACACTGATGCCAGTACGTGATTGACAACATTGAAGTTTCTAGCATTGTTAGACTACTTGCCTTGCCTATTATGTTGAAAGATATAGTCACATTGTTTCCTTGGACTCCAATATTTTCTAATAAATTTCCTTAATTTAATGTTAATTAATTCAGTTTTTACTAACCTTTCCAGGATCCCACTCTTGGGTTTTTGTTTGAAGCTGCAGAAGTTCGTATGTTGTCTCCAAAGCTTCTATCTCTGGTTTTGGGAATCCAGGTAGTACGTTGTGCAACTGGAAACCAAACAGCTCTAGCCAACTGCCAATGTCTACAAAACAAAAAAAAGGGTGCTGGCAATAAGGCACATAAATCCTAGAAAAAGCGACAGTAGTCTGCAGAAATAATGATTTCACATCAATTTATATTTTCAGTACTGGTTACAGCTTTTATTGCAGCAAACAAATTATTTGATTACAAAGCATAGCTATATTCAAATCAATAGTCTACCTTCTATCTATTTATAATGGAAAAAATTCAAATTAAGCTGCCTCCATTCTTCCCCTAAATTTTCGCACTTAGAAAAGCAGCAGAAACAACCATTAATTATTTTCTTGGTTATTGTAAAGGCTATAGAAAACAAATCAAGCTCTGTAAGATGTTATCTATTAAAGAAATGACTGTAATATATGTATGACTAGAGCCAAATAGCAACTTTGGATGTATGCGAAAGATTTCCAGAGTCTTGAATTCGTACCAGAATTTGATAAAAAGTTGTATTTTCATGAGAAACATGTTACTTTTACCTGTTGTATACTTAGCAACATCTTGGATTCTGCCAACTGGGTAATTATTTTCAAATGAGTAAAGATTAAATGGTTGTGGGACGGCATTCAGGTGTTTCCATATATGATGATTTGGTGTCGTCCACCGACCAGCAATGACATCATAGTCCCGCTGACCCATATGAACTAATTTAGTAAGAGAATCATAGAGCCCTCCGTGAAAACCAATGATAACCTGGAAATCTGGATTAGTGTCCTGGTAGATCTCTCCATATGGGGTGTACAAAATTTCTTTTATGACTTGGCCCCGACTGCTAAATACAGCTAGAGGTGTTCCAGTGTTATCACAAGCAACATAATATTCTTCTCCACTGCTTAATTCCATTGCGATGAGATGGCCTTGAAGATCATAATATAGGGATGTTATTTCTGAGCTAGTATGATTGTACAAGTGAGTAACTCTTATTGGATTGGAGAGATCAGCATAGAAGAACTGTAAGTGTTGTCCTAGGCTTGATTTACTTGCAACTCGTCTTCCAAGACCATCATAACAGTATTGCACAGTCCAGCCAGCCACTTTGTTGTACGCTTTGTTCAGCAGACCGTTAGAGTTGTACTCAAAGATCTCATTGCCTCTTTGCCTGAGAAAACCATCTTCATCCATTTTATATTGAATTTCTCCAAGTCTGGTAATGCGATCTCTCAGATCGTATCTCAGAGGAGTGAGGCGCGCACTGTTTCCATGGCTTAGCAAGTTGATGTTGCCATTAAGGTCATAGCTGTAGCGCCACTGAGTTTTATCATTCACAGACACAGTCTGAAGTTGACCATCAGCATCATATTCATAAAAATATCTTGTTATATTGGCATCTACACCTACGCGTATATCACAGATCACCATACGACCCATATTATCGTACTGGATGGTCATCCAGTAAGCGATAGACTTGAGAATTTCATATTGTACTTCAATCACCTGACCATTGGCACTAAAAATTTTGGTATGTTTCATCACAGTGGTGGTTATAACTTGGTTTAAATCGTAATTAATTACACTGAATTTTCCAAATTGTTCAGTCCTGCCAGAAACATCAACGTAACGGTACAGATCTATGGGAAGAGGTGTCTCGTTTATCATGGCCTGCATGCTCGTTACACGGAAATTGTTATAGCTGTAGTCAAATCTGGCGTTTACAAGCCCTTCTTCACTAAATCGGAAGATCTGGCGACCAATAAGTGGACCTGTCCAAAACAAACAGGGGAAAGAGGAAAAGCAAGAAAAATAATTAATTATGTCCACAGCATACTTACCCTACAGATCTAGCACAGACAGGCGATGAACTCAAATATACCCTTAAGCCTTACTGCTATTTGACTGTCTCAGAAAATACCATTAACTAAGAATATGTTAGATTATTGTCTCACAGGCCTTTATTAATGCTTGCTCTACAAAATGTTTATATTTTATTAACATTTGTTTAAATTAATGCTGTTTCATTCATAATTATGATTTCTATTTACTTACAAGATAATTCTAAAGAAAATTTATTTTACGTGGTGATTTCCTTCCTCATATAAACAGTCCTTTTGAATTTATGTTATATTATGTTATAAACAGGGAAACTTGAAAATACAAACAATAAAACAACTTGATTTAGTATTTAGCAAATATCCACACAGTGGAATAAAAACAATCAAACATTGTAAGAGCTATTCCATACCAAGCAATAAAAAGAAAACTGTATTTCAAATGGGACAGCTATATATGCCTATGGACACAGACATAGAGATATACACACGTATTTTTCTATTGAAACATAAAATATAAGAACTTGTAGACATAAAAATAATGGAATTTCATGCCAGGTAAGTGCAGGATCAGGGTCAAAAACTTTAGCAAGGTAGTCACAGTTACACAAACCTGTTTGCCTGTATCTGATGGTACAGATGAACCCATCATGCATTAAATGTATTGTTTTAATAACCCCAGAAGATTCCTCGTAAGTGAATGTGACTTGAGTAGTATCATAAAGAATCTCAGAAAGTCGGGACTGTTTGGTGTATTTGTAAAGGACCCTGCGTCCTGTCCCAGGATACAATGTTTGCAGAAGCCGTCCATCTCTGGTGATGTCCTGTATGAAAGCCGCATTGCTGTCCGGAGGGGTATAGATGTTGCGGTAGTACCCGACGGACAGCATGGTTTGCAAGGCATGGCGCACCATGCTCGGCATGGTGACCGAGAGCAGGTAGTCGGACTGGTCGTACTCAAAGATGTAGCGGCGCTGGCTGTGCAACAGGAGCATCACGGACTGCAATCAAACAGGAATGGCAGTTAAGTGGCTGATCAAGCAAACGATTATTCATCTAGTGAGTGTCTGAAGGTTAAGGAAATGCTGAAACAACCATCCACTCTTGTAGTTTGCTCTTATTGTCTGTGCAATTCCAAGTGAAGGTTTCAGCTCCAGGAGACCTGGCCAGGAAGGTGGTACAAAACAGGAGGAGAGTAATAATAAGTTGAGAGGTAAGGACCTCCAAGCTGGAAGGCAGATGTGGCTCTCAGTAGCATTTCAGCCTCATGCTGACTTGCTATGTTGCTTTGAAATATTTAGGTCATCCTCCCAAGAAGTAAAACCAGGGGGAACCTCTTCCTCACACACAGGCAGAGCATCTGCACCAGCAGATGTTTCTAGGAGAGGTGGAAAGGGGAAACTTTCAGTGGTGTGTACAAAGTGTTTAGCTTTTATTGGCACTCTGCATATCTCTAACACAGACCTAGCCCTTCTTCTGTACGTCTTCTATTAAATGCACATTGCCCCAGAGGTCATAGTATCACAGATAGATTAAAATAGTTGGCAGGTTCTTTGGCATGACTACTTCTATCTTTGGTTTTTAATGTTTACAAAGAATATAATTTCTACACAGGTACTTGATATTTGCCCTGTGTCGGTTAATTGTGGCTGGTCAATGAAATCTGGTTTGTTTGTCTGGCAGATGGATGTGCAAGCATGGCAGACATTTTTCTGTGCAAATTTAAAGTTTGGGTTCTGTAAGCCTTTTCACCAGTCACGTGCAAAGTCACAGTGTCACAGAGTACAAGCCCATCGCTGAACAGTCACTGTTGAAACAAGCATAATTAAAACACAGAGTACAAATGGATGGGGGAACTTTGTAGCCTTCCCCCAGCTCCAGTAAGTGGCTCGGCTGGACCAGAGCCCTGCACATCCTTGCCACGCTGTCTGAGCTGACGCGGAGCGCTGACGCTGCACAGTTCTTAGCTCACAGCCCAAACCTACCAGGCACACAAGCAAATTTGTCAGGCTTCTGCATGATTGAGACATCATGCAAAACTAAGTCTTATGAGGAACAGTGTGACTGCTTTTTCA